AAGTTTGAGTCGTCCGCCTGTTTTATACAAACAAGGGCACTCGAACCCCTATTCCTACTGGATAACCTATTGAGTAAATAGCCAACAAACATTGGTAAATCAAGGGGTCTAGCCGGCCTACGCCGCCTGATACCTTTACTACTCAATCAAGATTGTGACGAAGACTAAGTAACTCCTATGTTAACTTAATAGTCACTCAAACTTAGTACTGAGCCTAAAAGGTACGAGTCGTCCACTTGTTTTTAATAAACAAAGGCTCTCAACCAATACTCTTGCTAGGTTAACAAATAACAAATTAGAGGCCAACATTGGCAATAAAGGGAAACAACCGGTACCCGCCGCTTGTTTTCCTACTTAAATTCCTTGGCTACTTGGTAATTCTATTTACTTGGTCAAATTGAATAAAGAGTTCGAATACCGATTGATTAAATGGCCGACTGATCATCTATCCTGGAAACAGACAACCAGTCGTCCAGGGGCATAGGCGGCATACTTACTATTTGTACCTGTCTTAACGTTCGGCCATACACAACAGTCTGTCTAGTGAGCAAATTTCAAATACTTAGACAAATTTGAACAAAAACAAAAAATTTGATTAAAATGAGCCGGCCATAAAAGACCAGCAGAATATTCAAAACCCCGGCCCCCTGGCCGGGTAATTACAAAGCAAACGGCACGCAGGCCGTGAAAAAAAAAAAAAATATACTTAAAGCTTAAGAAGGGGGCAGTTCAGTATCAGCAGCAGCCGCCTGGTCAGCACTCTTCTTGCTGGACTCGGCCTTCGCTGCATCATCTTTTGATGCCTTTCCCCCAAGTGGCACAAGCGCCACAACCGGCTCTTCCTCCTCCAACGCAACGTCCATCGCCTCTTCTTCAGCAGCCGCCAGGATCTGTTGATTATATATTTCCGAACACTGGCGGTACGTTCTTTCCCATGAGGCAAAGTCGGCACTGGGGAACAGTCGTTCCCAGGTCATGCGTTGGATTTGGGCGGAGTCTTCCACCATCTCCCGGACGAGCTCTTGTTTCTCTTGCTCGGCCTTGTCCGAGAGCTCTTGGGTAAGACTCTTCTCCTGGTTCACCAGGCGTTCTTTTACGTTAGCCAAAGATTTCTCCACGGCTTCGTAAGAGTGCATTTTCTGACGAAGGGGCTTCAGCTCGGCTTTAAGTTTGGTGACGGTCCCCTCCAGCTCGTCAACCTTCTTTTGGGCCGCCTCTAGCTGAGCCCGAACAGCGGCGGTCGCCTGCGCCTGATAATAAAGAAGATCAAAGGTCAGTACTTCATTTTGGGCAATTTGAAACATTGCTTTATCACAGCTGGAGGCGGCCATAGCCTTTGCGGCCTTTACCTCTTTGTTTTTCCGATCAATCGGCTTGCGAAGGCTGTTGACTCGGAGCAGGGCCTAAGTACAAAGAAAAACAGGCGTCAGTTTCCAATCATAAGGGTTAACAGGCGTCCTGGAACTTCAAAAGGGTATACCTCAGCTAGGATCCCCGAAATTCCATCGAGGTCAAGGGTGCCGGCACCCTTGACCGCCTCCCTGTCAGAGGGAGGAACTACTTTAACCATTGACTTGGCTACCTCAACCAAGTCAAGTCCCTGGGGGCCGGCTGCATTAAGCAAAAGGAAAAACAAGTTAGACCTAATCAAGAAGGAAGCAAGAGTGAGTTTTTACAAGCAAGTGTCCATACATCTAGGCGGCCCCGCCTGGGTTTTTGAGGAAGTGGCCGGCTGCTTCTCAGCCGCCACTGTTTTCCTGGAAGACCCAGGAGAGCTTGCAACAGTCGTTCTCCGGGCCTTGGGGTCCGGCTGTTGCGAGGAAGAAGCCCTTGGAGTGCCAGACTGAAAACAAAAAGAGTTAGTATATGCATAATACAACTTAAAGGGGAAGAGTTTTCAAAGCTTACCAAGGGTGCTTCCTTGCTGGGGGAGTCGGCGTACGACTGCTTCATTAGCGAAACCCGCAGCATGGCCGCCGCAGTCTTAGATGCTGTTATTTTACTCATGGCGTCGGCTGAAAGAAATAAACAGCAAAGTTAGTAAAAATCCCAAGTAAACAAGGCGTGAGAAAACAGAGTATTCGTCAGGCCGGCTACCTCTAGAGCACCGACTGCCGAGGCCACAGGCGGCCAAGAAGTACTCATCATAGAGCCACTTGAAGCTCGGGACGCAGTGTAGGGGTACTTGCTCTCGTACCCCTGAAGTAGAGTTCACCCTAGTCTCTACTTTGAAGAGTCCTTTGTCTAGGATCTCTCTTTTAGCCTTTGGGGGAACAGGCGGCATGCTGCGGCCGCCTGCAAGAAGAGGCGGATCCCTGTTCCACTTGTTAAAACGTTTGTTCAGCTCCGTGTCTGAACTCTCGATAATAAGGAAGGTGTTCCGCCAATCCTTCCATTTGTTTGCCTTACCTCTCGTCATGAGGTAACCCCTGTGGCTTGTTAGTTGATACCAGCCGGTACCTCCCGACTTAGGGGTCCGGCTGAGATAGTTCATGTGGGCGAAAGCCTCAAAACTTGGCTCCACCCCGTTCAGTTCGCACCCGGCCACATAGCCGAGTACGTTTACCCAAGAGTTGGGGGCTAACTGCCATAACCCCAGATCATACCCATCTAAAATCCGCTGAACAGCCGGATGTAATGGGAAGCGCAGACCAGCTTTGATGGCCGCCACATAGCAGCCAAAACAGCCGTCACCATAGCTGGTACCAGCCGGCCAGACGACAGTATCTTCTGGATCCGGCACAAACAGTAAATACTCCGGGCCCATTTTGTGGTTAGCAATAAAGCTCGCCACGTTGTCTCGCATGGTTGCGATCCGGCCCCGGGGCACCCTGCAGTAGTAGGGGGTGTTTTCCTCTCTGTAAGAGGCGGACGGCTCTGCCCAATTATCCCCCTTCTCCACTGCATGGGAACTTCTCGCCTCTTGTAGGCGGTTATGTTTTTCTTCTGAGTCAGAAGAACTATGGTCAGAAGAGCTGGAATCGGACTCGTCCCCTGACGAGTCCGAAGAGGACGACGCCTCCCCTCTCCTAGAGGGGCCCGCCTCCTCTCCCTTAGAAGGAGCAGAAGGTAAATTAGACATGTCCACGGTTAGATGAGAAGGGAACACCTTGGTCCCTCTCTCAGAACTGTCAGCTTGACAGTCGCCTCGTTCCACATCTGGCGCCTGGTCAGATGTTTCGCTAAGGAGTACCCTTTGGGAGGAGCCGTCTGAGTTTGATATACTAGCAGTCTTTTTTGTTCTGGCCATCACGTTCTGCATAGACACAGATTCAGTCGGACTTTGTATAAAGGGCAAAGATGGGTCCAGAAAAGGGCAGGCGGCACTCCTAGTCCTAGATTCAGCCGTCCCCGGTGACCGGCTGATCACTAACTTAGGGCGTGTCGTGTGCTTCCATGGTGCCATTTCAAAAAATAAAAAGAAAATTAAGAGTAAGAGAACTGAGTTACCTGAACGGATGACAGTTGATGAAGTCCTGAAAGTTCGGGTCAGTCGGCTTGTCAGAACAGGCGGTAGGCAGAAAAAGTCCGAAAATGTCAGATCAAGTTCAGGGGTCCGAATGTTCTCGCAAAAATTCTCAAATGTGAAAATGACCGAAGTCAGCACTTCCTTTTATAGGCAAAATGAGAAGGCGAAGGGTCGCTTCCGAATTCAAATTTGGGCGGGAGAGTCTCCCGGCCGTCTGCAAGGTGACACCTGTAACGGGCCGTCGCCTGTCACCGTGCGACGCCTGTCACAGGCGACACGTGACCAGTCGCGTGCCACCTGTGAGGGGCAAATGATTAGGGGTTTTTATCCACCAAGCGCCGTTTGACAAGTGGACCAACCAGGTTCCGCCACGCGTCCTCCACGGACCACTTAAGACACGCCACGTGTCCACCCATGCCAAATGGGACAACCGGCCATCAAGGCCCATTTCAGTCTAGAAGCCCGATCGGCCCTAGGTTTACCTTAAACCTAGAGAGTTGCACGCTTCCCAAGGCTATAAATACTCGATTAATCCTCATTAATCGAGGGACCGAATAATTAACGGAACGGAGGAGAAACATTACGGAACACACTAATAACCGGCTGATCTCTCTAGCAAAGCAGATTTCCTACATTAAATACTCTCACCTGGAGAGACCTTATTACTTTAATTTCTGTATTAATTACTCCTTAATCAGGTACTAACTTGACCGTTGGAGGCGGAGCTCTCAGGAGTCTCCGTTATTTTGCAGGTACAGGCGTCCGGTTCCAGTCTCGGAATTGTAGCTCTCCCGCAGGACATCAGAAAACCCCAAAACACATTTCATTGTATATTTTCAAATCCCTTTGTTTATTTTCTTTCTTTTAATCCATGAGGAGGTTTTAAGAGTAATAGACTAATAGTTTTTCACAAGTCACTTTACACATAGTATGTCCTTAATAATTTTAGTGTTGAAAAGGAACTAAAATAACATGACTAAAACTACTCCTATTTTGGTGAAGTTATGTGCTTGAAATTTCCTTAACCTACTAAAGATCAGGACAATGTGACAATTAATTTTGGACAAAGAGAGTACAGTTAGGTGATTTGTTATTAAATACATCACCATAATGTATCAAACTACTCCTTCCGTTTTTAAATACTTGCTCCATTTCTCTTGGGCACGCATGCCGATGCTAATATTTAATCACTAATATCTTTAATTATCAATAAGTATAAATTCTAACAATTGAAAATTAATAATCTATTCATTGAGATGATTCCGACAAGTACCCACAAGACTATATTTTTTCTTATGTATAAATCACAAACATTAGTCAAAGTAGGATAAATAAATAGTGCAAAAAATAGAAATGCAGCAAGTATTTAAAAACGGAGGAAGTATCGATTACTAAACCTCCCATCATGTTTTAAGTCATAACAATTCAATCATACCCATGTAATTTAATTCATTTATATGAATACCTTTTTGGTTTTCCTCAAAAAAAAAAAAAAAAAAAAAAAACTTTTTGGTGGATTAAGATAAAGCTTATCAATTATTACATAAACAAACCTTATTTTTTGCTTTATTTTTGCTGGAGTAGAATCTAACTAACTATAAGCTATGATTAATATATTGCCTAGTTTGAATTAGTAGCATTTATGTAGACATAAGACCACATAACACAAAAATTATTAAATTTACTTCTATTGTGTCTATAAAATCTGCATCAAATTATTTTTACTGAGGGGTAAAAATTACAGTTTTCAAGTGATGTTGACTAAGTAGTCAAAATGCACAAATTTCTAGGAAGACTAATTTACCTTAACTTTTGTTAATCAGAATTCCTCAATGAGTAGAAATCCAGACTTTTTAGAGAGCACACAGCTTTATTTTATCACACTATTATTATAACCATTTCAAGGGAACAAAAACTACAGTAACAACAACTGATATAACAGACTAACAGAGTGTTTATTTATTTTATTTAATAACCCTTTTCCCCAAGATTAAAGTTACTTTGTACATAAAAAAAAAAAAAAAAAAAACTTTATATTATAAATTTATGCAGCTACAATTATATGCCAAAACTTAGTAATATATGAATATATGATACATACTAACATAAGTTTTATCTAATATGTTATGTATACCATATTAGATGTCACTATTACTACTATTGGTTGCAGCTGATTGAACCAAAGGCTTTGAGGAACTTTCATTGACTAAACATGTTTGTTCTCCTTCAGGTGACTCTTCAATTAGTCTTGACAATTTCTCTACTAGTTCCCCAGCACTCGGCCTCATCGTAGGGTCTTCATCGATGCATGCCCTTGCTAGGGTTGCCATCGCAATTGCACCATCAAACGAGTAGTTCTCTCCTAAGTCCGCGTCTATCCAACCCCTTAATTGATCCACATTCTCGGATTGGAGTATGGACTTAATTTTTTCGGATAGCATAACAATTTCTCCTTCTTGAGGACTCATTACCGGGGTTTCCCCTGATAACATTTCTAACAAAACCACGCCATAAGCATAGACATCAATGCTCGGAGAAATAATACCTTGCTTAATGTACTCCGGAGCTAAGTACCCTTTGTCCCACGACGAAGGGTTTCTAGAGGAAAACTCTACGTCTTCTGTATCATTCTCAACACATTTTTCCATCCCGAAATTCCCTAGTTTTGTGTTGAATTCTTCGTCTAGGAAAATGTTTTTGCTCTTTATGTTTCGATGGACATAAGTCGGGTGCATTATATGGTGCATATATTGCAATGCCAAGGCAACATCTAAGCAAATCCTAAGCCTCTGCTTCCAAGTTAGGAAGCAAGAACAAGAGGCTATAAATTGGCTTTTCATGGCTAATCCACTATGAATCCAATCCTTTAACGACCCGTTTTTGGCATACTCGAATACCAAATATGAATCATCTTCATCCATTATACAAGTCCCTAACACCCTCATTATGTTAGGATGATTATGAATTGCATCTTGAAAAAGGCTTAAATCTACTTTGGAAATGTATTCCAATGTGGTATACTTTATTGCCAAATCCTTACCTTTGATTCGCCCATGATATACCTTTCCTTCAACGATGTTATGGCTGTCAAAATCCTCAGTTGCCTTTCGTAGCTCCTCGACTGTATAACTCTCCAACATCATCTTGCTATTGCTTCGCGGGGTTGCTTCACCTTGACCATCCAGAGTACTCTGAGACCCCTCGAAAGAGATCTTCTTTTCGCTTGTTGTTCGTATGCTTAAACTCAGCTGCTGCAGTTCAGTATCTACAATTTTTGCCGACAGACAGTTTTGCTGCTCTTTTTTCTTCCTCTGTAGTAAGAAGAATACTGCAAAACCCGCAATGCTAGCAACTACAACAAAGCAGACTACACCAACAGAAACTCCTAACTTCATCATTCTCTTTTTCTTCTTTCGAGCAATGGCGGCCTTGCCACTCATCTTTGATGGCAATCCCAAACTCGGCTCTTTTGGTTTCGCAAGAGATCCTAGAGTAGGTTTCTGATTCAGTGGAATCAGAACTGACAGTGAATGATCTTTGAGAACTAAATCACCTTTACCTCCTTTCAGTCTCTTATTAGCGCTGATTATTGCTTTAGCAGTGGTATTGAACTGTAAGGCCAAGGAAGACAAAGTATCTCCTGCACTGACAGAATACGAAACCAACAGTCTGATACCTGAACTGATCTCAGAACTCGTAGGACAGGCACATCGTACAGGCACCGATATTTTGATCTTCTCCAACAGATTCCATGGCGCGATACCTGCATTCTTCTCTCGAATAGCTTTACAAGTAGTTAGCCCTTCCAAAGAATCAGCAATCCCTTCAAAACTCTCACCAACAGCAGTTGTTTTTATCAGTTCTGCTTGAAAAACTCTGCTTTTTTCGACACACTTGCAGCTGACAGGAATCAGCAGAGGCTGATTTTTCGAAAGATACTCAGTATTAGGAGAAAAGCCATTCACTTCTGCAACTGTGAATCTGTTCAATCCCAAGTAGTATGTAAGATTATACAAAGAAGAATAGTAAAGATTTGTATGAAGAACAGCATAAGTACTACACTGATTTTCGGCCGCATTGTGATTACATTCATAGTTTACTGATTCAACAGAGTTGCTTTCACAGCTAATGAGTTTATTGTTATGAGCAAAAATAGGGACAAACACTAGAAAAAAGAAAAAAATGAAGAATAACTTAGTGATTAGAGCAGCCATATGCTATTAATTCAGTACTAATAACTGATAAAACATATTACAGGACTAATTAACTTAAAAAAATGAGAGGATTTTTAAAGTATAGTGGGAGTAAAAATGTATATATATTTGTAGCATAGTAAGGTGAATATTTTGGATCTATACAACATAAAAAATTATGTGCTTAAAAAGGAGGAAATATTTATAATATATAGTGTAGATTATAGACAAGAGTATTGGAGTGCTAAAGTTGTACTAATATAGTTATTCAAATAGTTCCAGCTGTCTGTCTGGGTTCATTGCCCACATTCCACAGTTTATGGTTTTTGGGTTGGCTAACTATCTCAAGAACATAAAATTGTAATCTTTTTGGAAACTTTAACATGCATCCGATGTAATTCTCTGTCTATGGAAAAGATCATTTCAACTTGATCAATGTTTTATAGAATTCATGATCAATTTGTGATAAGAATTTATTATTATTGATTATTACTTTTTCCGTAGTTTAAGATTATGATTATATAGTATATACTTCCTCGGTTCTAAATTAGATGACATGTTTTGACTTTTAACATTATTCACAAACTCTATTTTTTGTGATTTATAGATAAGAAAAAATATAGTATGGGGGATTTTTGTTCTCAATATAATTAAACAGCCCTATTGACCAATGTAACGAGCAAAAATCTGACACTTGTTGATGATAATAATCCCTTTTTTTTAAACTGCAATCTTATGATAATTGAAATCCTCTAAACCCTTTAAATAGCAAAGTAACCTTTAAAGCATTGATGGAATAATCACTTTTTACTAATAGAATAACTCTTATAACATTGATCAAGTAGCCGGATGGCTGGCCACATGGTGTGGTCAACCACATAGTAAGTGTTTTATTATAACTCTACAACTATGATCCTCACTCTTATTTAAATTCACTCAGCTTCTCATATCTATAATTTAAATTCCCTAACAAACTCCACATACATTTTATTTTACAAATTCAACTCGAAATGCCTCCATATTACTTAATATCAGACTTAAAAAAAAAAAGAGATTAATTAAGACTACTTACATCATTTAAAGCAATTATCCCAAACTAAAATACTAATTTCCTTCTTGATAAGTGATAACACCCAAACTATGAACATATGTCAACAACACCCCCATTAAAAATTATGGTCCATACAACCCCAACCAATAACATCTCGATTCTCAATCGAATTGACCTGTGAGAACTTCTGGTCCGATATGACTCGCTTAAAAAACAATCAATATCCATCTCTTTTACCTTAACCTCATCAAGGTCAATTAGTCTGTCAGTTGGTCTTATTCTTTCAATCCCACAAAAGCCCAATCCAATCACCCACTTCCCAAGCCCATTATCATTTTCTCTCTCCTCCAAAACCTCCTTCTCCGGTCCCAGAAGCCCTAGTTCTGTCCACCGCTCCGCCGTTGACGGCGATCCTTCTTCTCCGTCGATCTGTTCATTCGATCGCTGAATGTGTAAGTTTTCGTCTAAACTTCAAACCCTAAATTTTTGAATGATTCATTGATAAGTTCTTAGATTATAATTTTTAGTCGTTAGTTTTATGATTAAAAACTGCCGAATTTTTCTCTCTTTTTTTTTAAATTTTTTATCTAGGGTTTGTTTTCCGATTTAGCTGAATGTTTTTTGTTGTTGATGATAATATGAGTATTTGAGCTCACCTCATTCTATTTGTTCTGCTTATGTATTTGAATTTTGGCGCCAATTTTATTTTTCATTCTTTTGATAATTTTGAGGTTTGTTTGTAAATTTCATCTAGTTTTAAGTTATAATATATTATGTAATGTTATGATTCTTCATGGTGTTGGTGGTATTAGTAAAATTTTGATTTTGATTTTGATGCCAATTTTCATCTGGAAAGTGCCCATAGTAGTAGCTGGGATAGTAAAACACATGAACCCTAAAAAAATTGGGGCTTCAATTATAGTAGTAGTAAAGGCTGAGATAGTAAAACTCATGCCCATAGTAGTAGTTTTGGCCTTTGGGGCCGAAGACCCGCCCTTCGTAAAGTGAAATGGCAACTGAGTTATGTTGGAGGGGTATATAACCGATGTAATAAACAAATATGCATGATGAAATAGTCTGATGATGAAGCTATGTTTACATTTATATGTTTAGTCATTCAGTGATAAACCAAACTAGTTTTAAGTTTATAACACATATGAAGTATAAAGCAATAAGAATTTGTCCTGTTGCTTTTTTATTTTATTTTATTTTATTTTTATTTTTTTTAAGAAGGAAATTGTTGTCTAGTACATTTTGATGGTGATTTAGTGTCAATTGCAAGTGTTAGAGGCCGAGGAGTTGATATTCTTGATAATATGGTAGGTATGGGAATAATAAGGAAGAGGCAAGGGGTAAAATTCATATTATGCAGTACGATTTAGTGTCTGACTTGGAAAACCATGTAATATATCGGCATCTACATGAGGTAGAGCTGTGAAAGGTAGAGGTATTAATAACTATGATAAACCACATGTTAATTTCTGAATTGATCCTAATTAAACTACTCACGTGGAGGTATTTCTCTTTTCCAAGAAGAGTACTTACCTCAATGCTGTTGCTGTTTTCTCTTATCTATCATTGTATATGACGTATGAATAAAAAAAAGAGAAGCTTTATTAGAGCCCTTGAAAGCATCTGACTGAATTTCACTCATTATCAAATAATTTTCTTCTGAGTTACCAATATAGAATATAAACAACTTCTAAGATCATTCAATTGTATGCAGGCCAGTGTTTCATGTTGGAGCTTGACTAGAAAGAAGGGAACTAAATTAATTGAGCATAATCTGTACAATGGATTTTTCTCCCTTCAAGCTAGATTTGGACGAGCTTTTAAAAGAGTTTTCTGAGGTACATCTTTTGTGGCCATATGACTAATGATTTCTACAATTCAGATTGATTAGACACTAATAGTCAATTTCTAGGCATTTATTTAGGAGGGAGGTGTTAGAATCTTTTGTCATATTGTCACTTTCCTTCTATTAGTATGTATGCTTTGGTTCTTGTTGGATTGATTTTCTTTCACGTGGTTGTGTTTATAGTCTTCCAGATTTTTGAAGGGGAATTACTGTCATAGCTTTGCTCTTGGCAATACTGCATTGTTTTTAATCTTGTATAGTTAAATGCAAATCTCTAAAAGCATGTTTTTTCTCTTGACAACTAATTAATTGAAATTTTTTCTTGCTTGTAGGGGGAGCTTAAAACTTTAGCAGACATGAAAAAATTATGGCTTGAACGGAAGTTTTCCTACATATTTGAGGCTCGGCCTTCAACCGGCTTGAACATATTTATGCAAGTCTTGTACAGCCATTCTATAAGTAAGTTACTTCTTTGATGCTTAATGATGCAATGACGTTCAGTTTGTTCCTAAGATGCATCTTGTATGTTTGATCAACATGATGAACTTTTCATCATTCTAAGAATGTATAGTTAGTTATTCCTCTAATATTATGAACTATAATTGAATGTCAATTATTGTATGTAGCTTATTTAGGGTGTATGCCAACATTTCTGTAAGATGTAACCAAAAGACTGAAAATGTAAAAGAACTGTAATATATTCTGCTTGCTTATACCAAGCATAAGGCCTTAGGAGAGTTCAATTGCATTTCAATTGTATTAGTACGTACCTAAATGGAACATACAAAAAGTATGCGATTTTACTCATGACTCATCACACAAACATACTGCTGTCAGTCTGTTTGCTAATTAAAAGAGTAGGTAATTTAGTTGAAGGCTTAATGGTTAGTGCTTTTTGATAACTGGATCTGTGGTTCCCACTATCCTTGTTCGGAATAATTATAGCAGACACAAGAATAGAACTCTCCAAGAGCCTTAATTTTCAGGGTTTACCATTGATATATAATATTTTCATTAACATATCTGCAGTATGACTTTGTCCTTAACAAATATTCGGGGAGCAGGGTTTATCTGTGAGACTGTGACCCATATTCATTTATTACGCATTTGTTGTAATTGACCAATTTTCTATTTTTTTTTTTCCTACTGAACACCTCTTTCAGTCTTTCCTATTCTTTATTTATTGTGAAATTTAGTTAACTATGAAGTCAGTTAGCTGGACAAATAAGCAAATGGCTGTGGAATTTATGATTGTTCCATTATAGTATGACCTTTTCTCTTTCCCTTAGTTGCATGCATTGTCAGTCCATTTATGTTTGTTTAAGAGTTTGCATAGATGTGATTATGGCTACAGAAGAAATATTGGTACCTGTGGTGCAATATTGCCACTTTTCTGCTGTACAATAGAAACATGCTGCACAGACTATTAAACAAACACCAAAAGAGGTTGTAGAGAAGACTACAAGCCAATAAATAGACCACTGGCTTGCTGTTTTATTGAGTACAGACCAAGTAAGGTCAAATGTACTGCACAAGAGCTGAAAGGAATGTAATGTTCCTAAATGACACATCTCAGTAGCTTTGAGGTTACATTTTCTTAAAGAAGAGTGCTTTTAATCTTCTAGCCAGCACTGAATGGAGTCTTGTGAATTTGTGATGGCTACTATTGATTTCCTTGAAAAACGACTTTCCTTACAATTTTTAGCTATTGATTGCACCGTTAACTTGATAAGACTAGCATTATCCGCAGAATTGATGTGCATTGCTTTAGTATCAACATTGGCTGGGTTCAAATCAAGAGAGTAATACGTGTATTTTTGTAGCTCACTAGATGAAGTGAATATTTAAATAGTTGAAAAGGGAAATATTAGAAACTCCTGTGGGCTAGATGTGGATAGATTGGCAGCACAAATAAGTTATTGAGTTAATCGTCTTCCAAACGGTTGTTATGCATTGATACACAGGATGTCCAATTAAAATTAAATGTCAAAATTTTGTTAGAGAAAATGGACGCAGATGTGAATTGTTAGCAGAGTGGAAAATCTGGAAATACATGAGGTACAGAAGCAACAATTGAATTGATATAATGTGATTCAACTGTAGAAAAGGATTGATGATCTGAAGGTTCAAATTTTGTTCCTCGGGACGCTTATAGGATCCAGTGAATTTGTATACATACTTATATTAATAATTTTATAATGGAGTCATATAAGAAGTAACGCCTGGTTTTGATACAGCTTTTCAACATTCCCTAACATGTAGTTTATTTTATTTAATTTTATTTTATTTTATTTTTTTATTTTGTGTGTGTGTGTGTGTGTGTGTTGTTTAAGTTGTTTGATGTTATGAGATTTCATATCAGATTATCGGAAAATCGGTTCAGAGTCAAGAGCAGGTTAAAAGTCTTCTAATTGTCCTCTAATTATCAGGTCTACAACCCTGATGGCTGATATTCTGTCCCTTTCGATGTTTTGAGTCTTGATAATTCACTGCCTTTTGACTGTTTGAAATTCAATTGTTTTTTTGTTTGACGAATTCTTTTGATCTTTATCTTTCCGTGATCATGTGTAGGTTACATGGTCTCCACTAATTCTTTGTCACTGAGATTGGGTGCCCTCTATGTCCTCTATTGTCTCTATGAGACACAGCCATTCAAGCCTCCATTCAAGATTTATCTATCTCTTGGTGAGTTATTGCTTTTTTTGTATGAGTATTTTAACTTCTGTTACTTCACTGTTGAGATTTAAATGAGATACAAAGTTAATCAAGTCACAGCTGAAGAAGTTACCTTTAATTGATTAACTTGCCTTTTCCCCTTTTCCCCTTTTTTTGTATGGGTCTGCATGCAGTCTAATATACTGGGAATATAGGACGTGCTAATTTTTTCTTTACTACACACTTAACCAGCAAATTGATAAAGTATAAGGTTTCTAGAAATCATAAAAGTTGGCCCGAATAACTGGTGTATTATGAAAACATCTTATTTTTCTTGTCCTATTAACGGTGGGCAAGTAGATTTTCTCATGTCTTATTTGATTGATTGGCATACATCCTTTCACTCTCCACCTTTTTTTGAGGCAAGTCATGTAAGTATGTAACTTCCTCTTGATGGACTTGACAGGAGAATTACGAAGATTAAAAGCTCTTGTTGTAAATGCGAAAGAAAATGGAATCAAAGTAGTATCTGTTTTGGTCAAAAGGATGCTAGAGAAGAATGTATTCTTGTTTGGCTTTGTCAACATAAATGATTATTCTGAGAACGAGAGGATAAAGGAGTTGGTAGATGTGCAGAATGCCTGCATAAAGAAGATGCATGAAAAGTATGCCCAACACTCATAAGTTAATATTTATAACTTTATCCAGCTGCTTAACTGACCTCATCTTGCTGCTTTTCCTTTTTGTAGATTGTTGGCTAATACGGAGATTGAGCGTTGTCTTCACCTGGACATGGTATGCTGCATACTTTTGTGATCCCAGGTTTCTTGTTGATTGTATTTTATAATTTACATAATGTCTTATGATATCATTGTCGTATAGATTGACGCCCAAGCATATTGATCACACACAGATAGAATCACATACACACTCACAGACATAGTCCACACAGAGACACACACACATGGCTGAATTTTACACTATCACTATGAAACCTAGATAAGTCTTAGACCTCCAAAGCGCCTTACCCTCTTTCTCAGTTTGTGATGCTGTCCACGTAATATATTCATATCTTTTTTTTATCTATAATTTTACTTGGTTTAGTAACAGCTTCAACCTTAAAAGTTGCGTATTTTGAGTCATTAATGAACCGCTTTGAGGTGGTTATTAGTTTTTTTTTTTTTTTTTTTTTTTTTTTGCGCGTACCTAAAAAAACTTGGATAGTTAATTTTATTTCTTCTTTAGGGTACGAACTTGTGTGAGCATAAAATACAAATATTGCTAAGATTGTAATCAAGTGTTCTGAGCAATTTTTTCTCTTCTTTCATTCTTCTTTCTGCTGTCTTTTGAACTTTCTTGTATAATTGTTTTGTGAATTATTAGTTAATGGAAAACGCATCTGTGGTACTCTTGAGTGTTTTTTCTTTTGAATTTATGAATGCAATTTTGCTGCTGATTGTTTCTTAATTACTCGAACTTCTGGAACAGGGCACGGAACTTGACCTTGAAGTGCTCAGGAAAATGTCCAAAGAATATGAAGGGACTAAAAATCTTGCTTTCAGAGGTATTCTATTCCATTACTTTGCTTGTCGCCTCGGTCGGGTTCATTATTCCAAAAAGTTATCTCATGTTCTGTGTGCCTTGACTTGAATATTTTCCCCTGTTTCGTCTTGATTTATTGAACCCCGTTACTGATAGGTCATTCATTAACCAAAGATGCAACCATGTATTGACACTATACAGTATACACTCATAGGAACCATGTCCTGTGTCTTAAATCTCTTAATTATTCTAATACTCTTGTATAAATGACACCTATAACCTTATTTGAATCTCATATTTCTGCAATGACAACTTGGCCCAGGTTTTTGGAGTATTTTTAGGTTAGCAGTCTTAGCCCCTTAAGCCAAGTATAAGATCAGTTTCTAGAGAAAATTAATTGTAAAGTTATTTTGAATTCGTGTTCTGAGTACAGTGGTGATTCTTGGTCCTCATAGTGGCTGATTTGGTATAATGATTTTTTTCTTGTATCTTTTGTAGAGGCTGGTAGGGTAGTCGATATAGAAAACATAAAACATATCGCAGATGATAGGCTGACAATTGGAGATGAAGTGCAAAAGATAAATGAGGAGTGGGGAAATCAAAAGGAAATGTTCACTCAGTTTATAGGAACAAACCAGCATTCTGTTGTAACTCATCATGAGAGAAGAGAGAGACAGCACGAGCAACCAATGCTACTTTCTGCTTCTGAACAGCAGCAAAGTGACGATGAGTTACAACACACTGGTTTCATGGAGCTTCTTATGGGAAATGAATCACCATTGGTCAATAATGGCGATATTCAACAAGCTCAAACTGAGCTACATTCGGTACCTAATGAAGAGCAAGATTATGATTTAGAGTATGCTAAGGATCTGGAAGATCAATTATTTAGTGATATGTTATAAATCTTATAATTAATTTTCGTATGGCAGTGGAAACATGTTAATATTTGTCCCATCTGATTTTTTTTAGGTCTAGATAATTTTACATTTTATGTACATCTTAGGTAAAATCTACACATCAATTTTAACATTTATGGGTACATATAACACTTACTAAACCTTTTATTCAAATGCTAATAAATGAATACTTGTATTGAAAATTATTTTCTTGCACTTGTGGTCATGATGTACACCATGAACCCAATTGACCAAAAAAATTACAGAAAATTTATTCTAGTGTTGGATTAACAATAGGTGGATTGCTGATTACTCCCTCCGTTTCTAAATGCTCCATACTTGCAATATCATCAAGATGATGATGATTTCAAGTTGATCATAGTTACTATGGTGAATAATTAGTAGTGTTTTTGAAGACTTATTTTGCTTCCCGCCTAAGTGCAGTGTCTTGCTGTGCCATTAAAGGACCTGAAATCCTGAATAGTCTATGTAATGGACACTTTTTATTTCTCAATCAAAAGCATGGATTGTGCAATACATTATCTTGAACTATGTAACATTCGAAAAAGAAGTAGGAATCTAATTAAGGGACGGAGGGAGTACAATAATAAAGATCTAAAGAGCGATTCGAATGATTTGTTACTATAGCCTAGAATATGGAAAGCCAGAAGGAACCTCAACCCAAAAAGATGCTCCTAAATTTGCCAACATTGGATCAATATAGTCCTCAATTTTTTGGGCAGAGCTCAAATCATAGACACCCATTTTTTTGTGCATTCCTAAATCACTAACATAGTATATGCAATTAGGCTTACAACAATGTGGAGATGCCTCCATTGAGAAACAAGAATTAGGACCCAAAAAAAGCGCTCTATTCCCCAAACTCTTCACTTCTTTAGTCTCTCCATTAACAACATCTACCTCCCAAACTCTGAACCTCGACATCGCTCCTTCATAGAAAAGCAGGACTTGTAACAACATCCCTGCTTATTCAACCAAGTACACATTGCTCCACCTACTAAATCTCTCTGACGTCCAAGCGCCTTTTGTAACCAAAGGTCGAATAACTTCATCGAACCCACTAGCCGCAACCATTCTCCCTTCACTATCGACAACATAGAACTCACCCTTGTAAAAGGCGATATCAGTCACATCTTGTACATAAGGAAGCTTCGTGACAACCCACTTATTCTCCTTGCTATTCCAAAACCCGGCAAGATGGTACATTGTCCAAGACTCCCTTAAAACAACAGCAAGCGTGAAATGAGAAGTGTTTGAATTTGGACAATCCGAAAGAGCAAAAATCGAGTCGTTGTAATCGTTGTAAAGATTGTATGCATCATCTTCCTTATATAAAAGCGAAGGAATTCTAATTCTTTCTTTAGTAAAAGGATGCACTAGAGATACATTTGCCTCTCTTTCACCGAAATAATAATCCAAGAAAATTAGCCACCCTCGTGAAGAATTCAAGTTTCGATTACAAATTTTTTCCTTAACAATAATATAACAGTCCTCGTCATCAATATCATCATTGTCACTATCAATGTCATCCTCCTCGCTATCATAACTACTATCACTGTCATCGTTGAGAGATGGCAAGTGCACGCGTCTAATGGAGCGGTTATAGAGCCGGAAAAGGCGAGCCTTGGAGGAGTATTCCAACAAGGGCTCAGGAGGGAGCATGAACCACGGAGTTTGGTGTGAAGCTGCATATCTAGAGGTGAGTATCATTGCGTTTCGCCAAGTGGTACAAACTAAACCAAAAGTTTCAAAATCTTGATGAGACTCAATGTGTTCCACTAATTTGATTGTCAATTCAAAAGGAAGATCTGCATAACTCTTCTCCATGTTTATGTTTATTACAACACTCAAACAATCAAATAAAGAGTATTGATAATAAGGATAAAACGGATTTTAAAGTATAATTTTTTTTTTGATGGAAGAAGATTGAGAAAATTTGATGATTATCATTGCTGGCAAGTATATAGGTTGTTACAGTAAGCATGATAATAGGAACATACTTCCTAAGATCTATACATGAATAACAATATCAAAAGATAAACATGAGAAACTAATCTGTTTTTTTTTTTTTTAATTATTATTATTTTTATTATTTTTTAAAAAAAAATTTAGGGTTTGTTTGATAATTTTTTGTTTTGTTTGATGAAATTTATTATGTTAATTTTGCTAATTAATGTTTCATAAATCGATTGAATTTGCTCATATACTATTTCTTGTGTTAATATGTTATGAATATGCTAAATTAATGTGTTTTTAGATAAATTTTACTTTGTTCCCGAAAAAAAAAAAGACCTATGATTGGGACTATAGTTCATCTTTTGAATCGTAGTTTTGGTCCAGTTCGACTTTTGGATGATCCGGATTTCGGAGGTACTTGTTGACATATTCTCTGTATCTGATATGTTTTAGAATTGTATACATTTGGATGAACATAATAAGGTGTTATAGTCATCATAATCATATCATTTGACTTATGATTACTCCTATCTTCAATTGGGGAAACATTATTGCTCATTTTAGCCGATTGATGCAAGCAAAACAATGTTGCTCATTTCAAGTTGAGCAAAATACATTTGCACATTTCAAATATGTTTGCTCATTTCTCATTTCGGGATTTATGTTATGTTAATAGATAGAGAAGGTACAAAAGGTACCCCATAAAACCCATTATTAAGGGTAATGAGTCACATGCATATTAAAAGTGACTCGGTTTGTGTTATTAGACTATGGTCACTTATTTTCCTTCCTCATTTACTTAATGTTGTAAATATTTTTGGTGTCCTTTTTAGCTCATTAAAGTTTATGTCAAAAACTATGTTCTCTATCTTCCATTCATTTTCTATCCTTAATTGATAAAGGAATAAAAAGGTTATATTTTTTATAATGTTAGAAGAAAAATACTTAGATTTATTTTCAAGCTGACAAGTTCATGTAAGAAAATTGTATGTACTTTGCTTAATTTTGTACTCTTTGTAAAGGTGGTAACTGGTAAGGCTTCTGAGTTCTGAAGGTAGTTCACTTAGCTTAATTCATATTTCTAATAATACATCAATTTGATTTATATATTAAGCATACATATATATATTTTTTTTTTTTTAAAACACTAAAAAAAAAAGTAACAAAAGAGTTTTATGCAATTATAAAGAAAACATATATTGCTAGTTGCTACAAAGATAAGATAAGTTTGTTTATTGTCTAGCATTGAACACAATTTTGTCACGATCTTTCCTTTGATATTGATTAGTTTCCATCACCATGGTACTTAAGTTTGAAATAATCAAGATTGTCTCCAACCTCTTCAAGTGATTTAGAGAAAAAGCTTTTGATAATTTCCTCTGTTGAGAATTTCCTATAAATAGATGGATTATCTTCTGATGTTAACTCCTTTATTGGACCATGTATCTTCTCAGATGAGAAAACACCACTAAAAAAGAATGCAACAGAAAGCCTTGGTCCAGCACTTTTCGCAATCACTCGATGACATGCACCTTTTATCATATCGTTGGTTATCATCTGTAAGATATAAGATAAAAATTAGATATAGTGTATCACTGCAATGTAAAGCTTGAAATTTACACATTAATCTAAGAACTAGAAAGTTTAAAAATTTAAATATATAAGGAAACGAAGAAAACCTGAAGTATGTTTCCAAAGTTAATAATCAAACCACCAGTAACAGGCTCAATATCAACCCATTTATTCTCATGAAGAACCTGAAGTCCACCAATACTGTCTTGTAAAAGTATTGTAATAAATGAAGTATCAACATGAGCATCAGTTCCCATGGTTAATTCTGGTTCCGGACATGCTAGGTAATAGTTGTTAGCTATTGACCAACTTTTTGTACCTTTTGCCATATTTCCAAGGCATTCGGATTCAAGTCCAAGACCTATTGATATTAACATAAGTATGCGATCACCAAGCTTGTGCATAGGGTTAATATACTCTAATATTACATCCCTGCAAAATGAATTTAATTTTCAAATGTACATACATATAATTTTAAAACCAACTAATTGAATTGTAGAGTACATAATTTATGTATATTTTTTGGTTTTTAAAACATTATTATTTTTCATATTTCATATTAATTTTTGAAAAAAAACAAAAAAACAAAAAAAAAAAAAAAAAAAAAAAAACAAACCCAAATGGAAAATTATTTTAAGTTCATTTATCTACGTGTCAAAAAAAAGTTAATTTATCTAACTTGCAGGATTATACCATTCGTTTTCCTAAATAACAAAAACAATTCCCAAAAATAAAAAAATATCACTGTTTCATTTAAGTCAACACATTTCATTCAAACACTTGCTAACACATAATTTCATAGGTTAAAATATTCAATCATCAATGAGCGAATTTTGTATATATATATATATATATATATATATATATATATATATATATATATATATATATATATATATATATATATATATTTGGAATTAGATTTTGTAAAAAAAAAAATATATTCAATCCCAAATAATTTTTTTTGACAAGAGAATTAGATTTTGAGACAAAGCAAAACCTCATAGAATAAACCATAAAAACAAATCAAAGTACTAGTAACTTATTTGGATAGTGCTTAGGACAAAGTCAAATTTATCAATTAAAAATTAACGAAGAAAATATATTTTAAAGTTACAAATTTAATAAATTTTAACACTACACAAGAGAAACACTTGGAGAATTTTTATTATTATAAAAAGTTTAAATTAGATAATAAATACACTTTACATACAATAATATAAAATAAAATAGGATCCAGTGATCCACAGGTCAAAGATAAACAAAAATCGGATCTCAAATATGGATTCGAATCTGTTGAGTCCAAAATTAAAATATTTAAATCTTATAAAATGATATAAACCCGACCACTTAATTGATACAAACCGAGTCTAAGGTCCATTGTCATCTCTACATATACTGATAAGTTGTTTAAAAACCAAACTCTGATAGTGAATTTGTGAGTTTTAATTTATGTAATAGACTATTTGATGTATGTAGGCTTAGATTTTAGGGAAAATTATATTCCCTTTGCCACCAATTTAAAGCCTCATTTGTCTTTTGCAAAAATTTTCAGAAGGAGAATGAAAAAAATTGTTGTGGTTGGTTGTTTAACGATTTGAGTAAGAAAATTAATAAATAAATAAACCTAGAAAGCTAAGGTTTGGTTGATGAAATGTAAATTAAAAAAAATATTAAAAAAAAAACTAGTGAGTTTGGTTGCTCAAAAGTGAATAAAACATAACGGTAAAATGAGATTTTTATTTAGAAAAAAAAATTTATTAGTAAAATGAGACTATTATTAAGTACAAAAGGAGTATATATATATTTCATGTATGATTAACATCAATTAATTGATTTGGAAAATAAATAAATTAAAGTCAACATTATGTGAGACAAATACAAACTTACTTGCATATAGGAGGCAACTCTTTAGGATCGACTTCACCGCCTGTATGTCGGGCATTAACATAAAAAGTGTCTCTCCAACATGCAGCCTTTGACTTATACAAGTCGTGGTTGCTAAAAAAGTACACAGACTTTGATTGAAAATCGCGAGTGTAAAACTTTTTCTTCATTTCAGCATCTTGCTCATGAAACATTCGACATCGATCAATCATCTTCTCTAATAATTCTTCAGGAACACCATGATTAATCACTTGAAAAAATCCCCATTCTTTAGATGCCACAATTATTTCCTTGGCAATTTCTGCAGTTCGATCATTATTTTCATCACTGAGAGAAGCAAAGTCTATTATTGGCACACTTTTATTTTTGGAAGATGTGCCAAAATCTTTTAGACGATCCTCAAGTGGCCTAATGAACATGTTAGGAATTTTTTTGATTCCTGCATCTACAAGCCCTTTTACCCCAAGTTTTCCTTCATCGAACGCCTTAAGTTCACCGATTCGATCATAGCTACTTTGTGTTTCATTAATTGCATTTTGGGTGTCCATTGGATCTATAAATATTTTTGAACCAAGGATGAAATAGCTTGAAAATGATTTTTTTTTTCTTTGGTTTAGAGTATTTTAGGATTGATGAAAGTTATAAGAAGACTTATGCACTATATATATAAATAATATTGGTAGATCAGATTCATGAGGAAATCATGACCTAATCAGCTTGCTTATCCATGTGAATCTCAGTAATTGGAAATAATCAGCATATAGCTAGTGCATATGAGGCATGAGGTCATTGCTCTATCATATGAGATAGCTTATTAGCCCATGTGAATCTCATTAATTGGAAATAATCAACAGATTGCCAGTGCATAAGATACATGAGGCATTATTGCTCTATCATGTGAGATATTTGACTAGCCCATATCAATCTCATTAATTGGAAAGAATCAACATATAGTTAGTGCATAAAAAGCATAAGGCATTATTGGTGTATCATGTGAGAGAATATTAGACAAATAAAGTAATACTACCTCCGTTTCATAACAATTGACACATTTAAACTTGGCACAGATTCTCATGCATGATTTTGACTACTATTATACTCCGTATATAATTAAACATGAATAAAAATTATCCAAAAAAAAAAGTTGATATTGTTTAACTCGGCATTAATATTTATTTAAATATTGTATAATAATAATTGATTATCATACATTACCCAAAATCTATAGTTATAATTACTAATAAGTATAAATAGTCAAGTTGTGTCAATTACTAAAAAAAAAAAAAAAAAAAAAAAAACTCCAGACTCATTTAACCTGAGCACGTATGCAGATGCAAATTTTTGATCAATTTTATCTTTAACTGTTAATAAGTATAAATTCTAACAATTGAAAATTAATAATCTATTCATTGAGACGATTACAACAAGTACCCACTCGACTATATTTTAAAGTAGAAATGGAGCAAGTATTTATAAACGGAAAGAGTACTATAATGCTTTTGCGTATATATCACACCACTTTTGCTTCATTCATTTTCCCACAAAAAGAATTATTTGTTTTAAATTTATTTATCTAGTGCTCCCTCCATTTTAAAATAAGTTATGTATGTGTCAATTGCACAATCTTAAAGGATGTCTAAATTACTACCTCGCTTCTTTTTTTTTCAACGAGGAAATTTTTTATATCTCACAAATATTACCCTTTATTTGAAATAATAGGGGTAGATAGTAAGGAAATATTAGAATTAGGCACAATTTATATACCCATATATCTCATGTAGTCATATTCTCATTAACTTAAGATTATAAACCAATAATTGAATGCCATCTATTAATTATGTTTTTCACATTAACAAAGACACAATATTTGGAACCAAATATTTTTGTAATTTTGTAATCTAAAATGTAAATAATTAAATTAAAAAGGTAAAAGATGAGATTTTAATTGAACAAATTGAGGTTTTATTAATTTAACAAATATTTGTTCAACCATTAGGTGATTTCTCTACATCACCAAGAGCTTTATATCTCAGGAACAAACTTAATTAAAACTTGTACTCCTTATCTTGATAGAAATAAGGCAAAGATCGTGCACTAATTGTAGTAATCGACATGCTAGTCTATGTGATAATTCAAATTAATTAGAAGTAATCAAATTAAATGATAGATTAAAATTTCTATATCACATAATAAAATATAATGAAATTCAGTTAATAAAAAACCTTTGCCTATGAAAATTGAATTAAAACTCATAGCTATAGCTATCTTGGTAGAATATATGCATGAAGAATTAATTATAAATTATTAAATCAAAGAAAAACAAACTAGCAATTCGAGACATCGCCCGAACCACACTAGTTATCAAATTAATTGGTAGGTAAACACAAGAAACTTGAGGTCATTGCTCCCTCTATCATGTAATAATTTGTAAAGAAAATCATGTGATAAATGACTCAACATTATCTAACCAACAAACTAACATTTTTTTAATCATCACACAATTCTCACTTAATTTGATCACGATATATAATAATTATTAATTCCACTCAGATGTTACACTATTTCTTATTGCTTCCACTCAGATGTCACACTTCTTATTGATTCCACTCAGATGTCACACTTCTTGTGCACCAATACTTTAATTCACAAACACAAATGCATAAGTTGAATTTGCACATGAAAAACTAAGGTCATATTTTGCAATTTCCTTCTCTAGACTACGATAATAATTGTCTTGTAACAAGACACATTTACGTAATAATTCAAATCTTATATTTTAAAGAAAGCACTATATAATAATTTTTGTAAATATTTTTAAGATTAAAATTTATGTGTGTTATTTAGCTTAAAATAATTTACTTATACATGATTTCATTATTGGAGGGAATCCCTTATAAATGTTCTATATTTTTCATTATACAATGTATGTATATCGATAATAATTGTGGGTAGTTGTAAGATTTTGAACAAGCATTTACATACACAACAAGAAAACAGGTGAATACGGACGGCTTGAATTTGTTAGTAAATGTGGGAAAAACTCATTAGTAAAGGTGTTACTAACGGGTAGAATAGGTCTTTATGTGGGAACCCTATTATATACGAGAATAAATCACAATCATTGAATACAACACAATCCACACACTAAGATAACTCTAAAATATAATAATGGCAAAAATGTTTTTAATTCAATCAAACAAACCCCCTCTACCTAAAAAAAAAACCACATCATGCATACTATTGTGTCTCTCCCTAGAAAATAATTAGGTGGTGTGTGCTCGTGTCAAAAGAATAGAAGGATAAAAAAAATGCAGAAACAACAACGAACTCTAGACACGCGGATTCCTTAAAGTTCTCATTTACTAAACCAACTGAGCTATGAAGCAAAGACTTAAAACAAATGAAAAATTAATTGTTATACTGAATCAAGGGGGTGGCCATGACCTACCCCAACCCCCCTATTCCGCCCCTGCTTATCAATCAAGCTCGATTAGGTTGAAATAAAGGTGGGCATCGTGCCGTGCCGGGCCGTCCTGGGCTGTGCTGGGGGCTCGTGCCAAGCCGGCTTCGCAGCGGGTCGTGTCGTGTCGTGCCAAATTTTGGCACACCCCAGCCCACGGCAAGGCCCGAGTGCCATGCCGGGCTGCGGGCCAATCGTAATTTTTTTTTATTTTTATTTTTAATAATACTAGATGTAAGCCCGTGCGATGCACGGTTTTTAAATATTTCATTTTGTATATATTTTTTGTAATTTCTTAATATTTTTTTGTTTTTATTTTCTATTCTATTATTTTAACATTAATTTAAGGTAAAATATTTTGTTAAGTTTTAAATTATTCTTATTCAAATTTAACGTATATAGAACTTGAATTTATAAATTGAAATAAATATTATCTCATTCATCAGATAGTTAGATAAAATCATTAAATCAAAATATATTTTTTAATTTCTAATTATTTGTTAAAATAATATAAATCCTAATGTAAAAGATAATATAAAAGATAATTTTTGTTTTTTTTTTAATAATTTAAATCTTAAATTACTATTTTTTGTTTTCAATTCTCAAATTTCATTTGTTAATTTTTTCTTAAATGGCGACTGAAAATTAAAATTCTAAATTAATATATAAATCTAATTTTTCATTGGTCGAAATATTACTTTTGCTTATGTGGCGTGCGATGCACGAATTTTTATATACATTTTGTATATATATATTTTTTTTGGTGATCTCTGAATTTTTTCTTGCATTATAAGTTTTAAAATGTTGTATGAAAGTATCATATCATCAGATATTTATATAAAACCATTAACATCAAATGATAATTTATATTTTTTAAATATCAAAATATAATTTTTAATTTTTTAAATAATATAAATCCTAATATCTAAAGATAATTTTTAGTTTTGTAACAAATAAAAATGATAAAATTTAGTGTTCTTAAATAATTAAAATCCTAATAAATTACTATTTTTCGTTTTTACCTACGTGGAAAAAATTTAAAATTTCATTCATCACTTTTGTTTAGGTGGCGAGTGATTTTTTTAATTCTAAAATAAAATAGAAATCTAATTTTTAATTGGTCGAAAATATACCTTTTCTTATGTAGCGCTCTCAATGCTCTCCAAAAATGCCTATTTTATTTATATACTAGATGTAAGCCCGTGCGATGCACGGTTTTTAAATATTTAATTTTGTGTATTTTTTTTGTAATTTCTTAATATTTTTTTTGTTTTTATTTTTTATTATATTATTTTAACATTAATTTAAGGTAAAATATTTTGTTAATTTTTAAATTATTCTTATTCAAATTTTACGTATATAGAACTTGATTTTATAAATTGAAATAAATATTATCTCATTCATCGGATAGTTAGATAAAATCATTAAATCAAACATATTTTTTAATTTCTAATTATTTGTTAAAATAATATAAATCCTAATGTAAAAGATAATATAAAAGATAATTTTTGTTTTTTTTCATAATTTAAATCTTAAATTACTATTTTTTGTTTTTAATTCTCAAATTTCATTTGTTAATTTTTTCTTAAATGGCGACTGAATATTAAAATTCTAAATTAATATATAAATCTAATTTTTTATTGGTCGAAATATTACTTTTGCTTATGTGGCGTGCGATGCACGAATTTTCATAAACATTTTTTATATAAATATATTTTTGGTGATCTCTTAATTTTTTTCTTGCATTATAAGTTTTAAAATATTGTATGAAAGTATCATATCATCAGATATTTACATAAAACCATTAACATCAAGTGATAATTTATATTTTTTAAATATCAAAATATAATTTTTAGTTTTTTAAATAATATAAATCCTAATATCTAAAGAAAGTTTTTAGTTTTGTATCAAATAAAAATGATAAAATTTAGTGTTCTTAAATAATTAAAATCCTAATAAATTACTATTCGTCGTTTTTACCTACGTGGCAAAAATTTAAAATTTCATTCGTCGCTTTTGTTTAGGTGGCGAGTGATTTTTTTAATTCTAAAATAAAATAGAAATCTAATTTTTAATTGGTCGAAAATATAACTTTTCTTATGTGGCGCTCTCAAAGCTCTCCAAAAATGCCTACTTTATTTATATATATTAGATATTAGATTTTTATGTTAATGTTAATATATTATTTTTGAACAACTTTAATTTAATTAAGTTTATATAAATAAACTTATTTATTTAGGGCTTGTTTGGTATCATTTTTGGTTTTCAGTTTCCTATTTTTTTTGAAAACTAAAAACT